CATTCCTGAATTTCAGTATTTGGGTCTGTTTGTAAGCACTGCTGTGACCTATACCTCTCTTTCCCATGAGTTCACAGCCCTGGGGAAAATCATAGGGACACACTTTCTAATGAATTTAGTCCCTATTTTGCACTTCCCTGGAAATTTTAACACTTTATTAATTCAGGAACAGCAAAACTGCGTCCTTGCTTAAAGGAAAATTGACACACACTCTCCATCCTTACTTGAACGCTTTGATCTCATCCTCCGAATTACCTGAGTATCAACCTGCTACTGGTCGATGCAGAGGCAGCTTTGTACTCTGCTGCTGTTGCGAAGAAAATCACATGAAGGACTCCATCTACATTGACCTTCAAGTGCGCAGGCAGTCCCACTGAAACCAATAAGGCTGCGCACGTACGTGAAAATCAATGTGTTGCACGTAGGTCAGTGTTGGATCAAGGGCAGGGTGATTTTATTACAGACGAGACATAGCTGAGGATGAATCTGCAGCAGTGTGAAAGTTGCCTTGAAACGATTGCTGAAACAGACTGCTAACTTTTTTGTTCAAGAAACAAAAATATGTATTGAAGCAGTGGGGGTGCACAGAGGAAGAAGGACATGACTTAAAAAATACAGTAGCTGTAGAGAAAAGAGGGCAGGTGATTACAGAGAGCAGGGGAGAAAGCGGCATGGAAGGGATTCACTTTTGTTTATCGTATTCCTGCACATGATTAGAGGGGGTCCTGAGGGGAAGCGCACCTGCATACGCTGGTCTGGACCGTGCTTCTCCCACGTCGGCCTCGGCTGCATGCTCTGTGTCTGCTTTTGGGGTGGTGTGTGCTGTCGTGTCCGTGCACATGGACGTGCGGCATGCGCTGCCTGCGAGAGACCTGCCATTTGCACCTCTGTGCCCGTGCCAAGTGTTCGTAAATGCATTTTGAGCAACTTTCTGTCCATGAATGTAAGGACAGGCTGACCCAGGCTTCATTGCTGGGGGAACATCTCTGGAGTCAGTACCTGCGGGCAGGGAAGGCCTATGGCCAGATATATGTCCCTTTTCCCCCATCCTCTGAGGCCGAGTGCCTGCGTTTGCCTCTCTCATCGCACAGCATTTATGTGTTCATTTTTCTTTTCTGTTTCTGCGTC